CAAATATAAGGAGTATTCTTCCCACCAACCACCAATGTAAGGGACATTCTTCCAACTGACCACCAATGTAAGGGACATTCTTCCATTGACCACCAATGTAAAGGGCATTCTTCCTACTGACCACCAATGTAAGAATTATTCTTCTCTTTGACCACCTATGTAAGGAACATTCTGCCCACTGACCACCAATGTAAGGAGCATTCTTCTCCTTGACCACCAATGTAAGGGGCATTCTTCCCATTGACCAATGTAAGGGGCATTCTTCCCATTGACCAATGTAAGGGGCATTCTTCCCATTGACCACCAATGTAAAGGGCATTCTTCCTACTGACCACCAATGTAAGAATTATTCTTCTCATTGACCACCTATGTAAAGAACATTCTGTCCACTGACCACCAATGTAAGGAGCATTCTTCTCCTTGACCGCCAGTGTAAGGGGCATTCTTTCCACTGACCAGCAACCTAAGGGGCATTCTTCCCACTGACCACCAATGTAAGGAGCATTCTTCTCCTTGACCACCAGTGTAAGGGGCATTCTTTCCACTGACCAGCAACCTAAGGGGCATTCTTCCCACTGACCACCAATGTAAGGGGCATTCTTCCCAATTTTTCTTTATTAAAAGTCTCGCAATCAATAAACATAAAATATTATACAGAATATAAAAAAAATTATATATATTTACAGCAAAACGAAAATAAACATAGCAAAATCTGCTGTCAGACAAAAGCAAACGTCTCAGAAATGAACATGACATAATTGGGGAAATAAATCGTACTACCACTCACATCACTACACCAGACATCAAACCTGTGAGGTCAAGAAACCACCCCGCCCCCCTTATGCATGCAGCCCTTCTTCAAAAAAGATCTTAATCAACAAAAACTACGGAGTGAAAAGAACAGTATAAGGAAAGACCCCCTCACCCAGAGATGGACAGTTCACCAAAGGCAGGTCTGATATTCCTCCACGCCCGTATCCAGACCGCCCGAGGCTCCCTGCCCTTCTCAAGACCCGAATCTTCCCAACCTCACCCAGAATATCGTGCACCACCCCTCTACAGGGAGGACTTTTCCGGATGGTAATCTGACACCGTGCGTTCCATGTGAAGTAACGGACAACTATACTAACTAGAAAAAGTGTATCCAAATCAAAGTCCCAGTGAGCTGGGAATGCCCCGTACACCCACTCTGCATAACTCATGCGATAGAGAAAGGGGATGCCCAGAACCCTCCCCACCCTTTTATACACCTCTATGTTAAAGGGACACAGGAGCAGAAAGTGGTCCATAGACTCCACCTTACCAACACACTCTGCTCTAGGACAATCTCGATCATCCACAGGGCGGTGCTTCAGGTTCCCTCTCACATAGAGCCTTCCATGGAAAGCGAGCCAGGCTTGATCCCTAAACTTCAAAGGGATTCTCTCCAAGTTAATTAAACGCAATCCCTCCCTCATTACGGAGCCTGGGCAATCCTTTAAGGCCAGTGACACACTGAAAGCAGAAGCCAAAATCCTCTCCCCCAGAAGCTTCCTGGGAAGGGACCTGATATCCTCCACTGTCACCTGCCACTGCCGAAGTATTTTCAGACACGGGGCAACATAAGCCGGGAGCTTGCCATGTCGGACTCTCAGACTTTTCACTGGGCCGCCATCTTCCCAGCAATGCAGAAAAGGCCTAAACCAAGACTGAAAAATACCCACCCATCCCGGCGGGGTCTCTGCTAACATATTACCAAGATTGTACTTTAAAAAGAGCAAAGAAAAGAAAACTATCGGGTTGACCATTCCTAGGCCACCCTCCCGCCTGGACAGGTAAGTTACATTGCGTTTGATCAGGTTCAGCCTGTTTCCCCATAACAGTTGGAAAAAACAGCTGTAGACCCGTGCATAGAGAGATACTGGCAAGATACAGACGAAGCTGTACATATAAAAAGATCGGGATCAGGTAAGTTTTGATCAAGTCAACCCTCTCTCTCAAGGAAAGCCTCCATCTCTTCCAGCTTGCTACTTTGGCATTGGCAACTACCAACCTGCTTTCCCAGTTTCGATGACCATAGTCACCAGGACCAAATTTGATGCCCAAAATTTTAATTTCCTGCTGGGGCTCTGGGAAGGCATCCGGAAGTTCGAAGCTTTCACCCATCCAGAAAACTTCACTCTTTTCATGGTTGACTTTAGAGCCAGAAGCCTCCGTGTACTGCTCTATCACAGAGACCACCTCCTGCGCCTCCTCAGTCCCAGAGATAATAACAGACACATCATCAGCATAGGCAACGACCTTCAAAGGCGGCACACCAGCAATGCCCAGAGGCACCCCGCACAACAATGCGCCCTCTAGCCTTCTTACAAAGGGTTCGATTGTGAAAGCATATAGCAGGTGGCTCAAAGGAAATCCCTGGCGCACACCAGAGCCGACCTCAAAAGGCCGCCCAACCCAACCATTAACAAGTGGGAAGCTCTCAGCCCCTTTATATAATGTCTTCAGCCAATCTATAAACCTCCCCTGCAGGCCGTATCTACCAAGCAGCAACCACAGATATTCATGATTCACTCAATCAAAAGCTTTCGCCTGATCCAATGCCAGCAAGTATTTTCTCCATCCAGCAGCCCTGCATCGTTCCAAAGCCTCCCGGATAGCCAAAACTGCTGAAAAGGTACTTCTACCTTGGACCGAACAGTGCTGATGGCTGGACAACAAATCGCCTGCTACTGACGACAAGCGCCAAAATAGAATCTTTGCCAAGATCTTTCTATCAACATTGAGAAGACTGATGGGGCGCCAGTTCTCAATCATTGAGGGGTCTTTACCTTTTGACAGAAGAATCACAGCGGATTGCCTCATGGAGGGAGGGAGCAAACCCTCTTCTAGACAGCTGTTAAAAACCTCCGCTAAAAAGGGAGCCAGAATGGACTTAAAACACTTGTAAAATTCAGCTGTCAATCCATCTGGCCCAGGCGATTTTTTGGTAGCCAGCTTGTCTATAGCCTGAACTACCTCATCCGCTGAAATTGGTTCTGTCAAATTCATCAAAAGCAATGCACCATTTCCCAATCCTGGAGTAGAATCCAGAAAGCTTTCCATCCTGTCCCGGCTAAGGTCCTTTCTTCCCAGGAGGTCTGCATAATACGACCCAAAGATCTCCAAGATCCCTGATCTGGACTTTATCAGGGAACCCGTACTGTCTTTCAGGCCAATGACCGTCTTAACTGCTATGCCTTGCTTACAGTTCTGGTAAGGATCAGGTGAGTGATATTTCCCATATCCCTCTCCAGAACCAAGGAGGCATGCCGGTCGTATTGACACTTCCTAAGAAGAAGCTTCACTTCAGAGATCTCCCCTGGATCCCCTCCATACGAGACAAGACGATCAAGCTTCCTCCGCAAATGCTGGTAGGCAATATACATACCAAGCTGCTTCTTCTTACTTATGGCCTTGAAAAGTCCAATCGCCCTTTGTTTCACAAGCTCCCACCACTCTGACTTACTGCTGCAAAAGTCCAGAATAGAAACCTGTGCCTGAAAAAAATCCTCAAAGGATTGTCTTACCTCTACATCTTCCAGGAGAGCCGAATTCAGTTTCCAGACACCCCTTCCCCTGGGTGGAGTGTCCGAGGCATTCAGAGTCACAGACAGCATACAGTGGTCAGAGAACTCCACCGCCTTCAACTCAGGAGCCGAGAAAGCAGAGTTCTCCTTTAAAAAAAAACCTGTCTATCCTGCTCTGACTATTCCCTCTCTGAAATGTGAATCCCGTGCTGCCAGGGCAGTGCTTAATGTGCACATCTACCAGGCCTGCCTGTCTAACCAAATCTCTGAGAAAAACGCTATCATAACCCAGCCTGTCTATGGAGCCTCTCCTGTCTTCAGGCCTAATTATGGTGTTAAAGTCACCTCCAAAGACAACCTGCTGGGACGTAAAAAGGAAGGGCTTGATCTTTGTGAGGAGGCATTTCCTGCCCCATTTTGACTGCGGTCCATAGATATTGATCAGGCGCAGGTCCTGCCCCCTAACAGAGACGTCTAAGACCATGCATCTCCCCATTTCTACCTCAATTACCCGCCGGCACGTTACCATATCGGTTTTAAAAAGGACCGCAACTCCGCTGCAAGGTTCAGCCGCAAGAGACCAAAAGGAGGGACCCATCTCCACTCCCTTTTTGCTAGATAGACATCGGCTAATGTATTGAGCCAGGTCTCTTGCAAAAATAAAATCTCAGCATCAAACTCGCTGAGCAAAAATAAGGCCGTATCACGAGCTCTTGCAGATTTAATGCTGGCGACATTAATGGTCGCCACCTTTAACAGAGTGGGAACTGCCATCAGGATGATTGGGGTAGTCGTTTCTTAACCTCTACCACACTCTCATCACCCGAAACAGCTCTCTTCAGAGTACGTGACTCCCCCTCATCCATAGATGATAAAGAAATGGATATATCAGATACCATCTCATCACCTGACAAAACAGAAAAAGTATTGCCAAGAGGGACCCCTCCTGGATCCGATTCTGAGGAAGAGAGGACAGCTCTTCTCATCCTCCTCCTCTTCTTCTCCTTCACCCTCTCCCACCCTTCATCAGCCGAATCCCCCCCAGCAGGAGGTGAGACATGGGACATGGATACCCCTCCCTGAGCCTCATCGGCTCCACCCCCATCCGGCACCCCCACAACCTCCTGACCACGTTTGCGCTGATGGGGGACAGGTACGGAGGTGGAGTAGGCCGAGAGGGAAGATCCGCTAAACCCGCCCCCCCAGCAGCTTCCGCCAGTCTGGAGGATCTACGTACTGTAGGATTAGGGACAGGAGGGACAGACTCAGGGGTGACATTACTGGGGGAAACACAATCTGACACAACAGACACAGGAGGTACAACTACAGTTTTCCTCCCTAGCATCAGCTGCCTCATCCTCTTTATCCAGCCTCTGCAGCTCAGCCTCCAGTCCTGGCAGGTTGTGTAGTGCCTCTGGGCACAGACTGTATGGATGACCCAGCTGCTGGCACAAATTACACCGAATCTCGGTGCATTCTTTGGCCAAATGGCCAAAATCCTGGCACAGTGAGCACTTCTTGATGGTGCAGGATGATGCAAAATGGCCTCTCTCTCTCCGCATTTGTTACAAACTTTAGGCTGACCTTGATAGAAAATGGTCAGCCTATCCCTCCCCAGAAAGGCTGAGCAGGGAAGATGCTGAACCACATTGCCCAGCACCCTCAATTGCACTGACACTGTCCAGGCCCCTGTCCATATCCTATGCTCATCCAGGACCTTCCGCAGTGGGGTGAGGACCTCACCATGTCGGCGTAGCCAAACTACTAAATCAGCCTCTGGTATGGATTCATTCCGGACCAGGATTGTCACCGATTTTATCAAAGGCTGTCTGGAAACCACCTTTGCCACCAAACCTCTCCACTGCTGAAGGCTCCTGCACCTCCAATATCTCTCCCAAAACAGGTCCAGGCCTTCAGGTTTTACAAACGACAAAATCGTATTCATAGCCGCCTACTGGGCAGATCAATGCAAACACATCACAGGCTTTAAAACCCCATCTCTAGAATCAACTCCGCCACCCTCCCCCTTACTGGTGGGTTCCCTTCCCCCTCCCACTTCAACTGTACCACATTCCTTCTCCTGACCCCACCAACCATCCCACCACCAAACCTCCCCAAATTGTGACCATTAGTATTCCCAACACTACCCCACCCCCCCTTGGTGCGACTCCCCAAAAACAGAGGCATAGCTCCCCCCAATCCTCCCAGCAGCAGAAACATTTGTGTGTCTGGGAGCATCTGGTGCAACTCTGGCAGATACCGATTGCACAGATCCGGGATTGGATGGTGTATCCTCTTTCTGCTCAGCAGGGGGAGAAATGTGTCATTTTTACCTCTGTCAGCAATGTTAACCCCTTCACCTCCACCCACCACCCAACACATCCATTGCTTTATCAGTCTCAACAGTCATAGACTTCACAGCAATGTCCGCACTCACTGCTGCAACCATAGAAGCTCCAGCAGTCATCTCTTGCTCCAAGAAAGGAGACTCAGCCCAGGACTGGATTGGATTCTCAGACACAGCAACAAGTGAGACATCCATGTGTGCTGTTTGCTCTCCACATGGTGCAGTGTGCTGCTCCCCTCCCCCACCATCATCAATCAGCTCTGGAGCACCTGGGAGCTCAGGTGAAACAGTCTCTCTGCAGGGGTCAGCCATCTTGCCTGTAGAGGGACTACTGGTCTCAGCAGGAACAGCAGCAGTAACTTCCATCCCTGGGGTGCTTGGTGCAGGTTCATCCACATTCCCCTGATGGTATGGAGACCTCTCTGCCAGGGATTTTTCCTCCAGGTTGGCTGAGGATTCCTCCACAGCAGGTTGCTTGCAGAGCTCCTCATCCACAGTACTCACCGCAGCAGGTGGGGGCAGACATGCTGGAAGCAGCCATCTTGGTGTATTGGGCTTTCTCCACCAGTCTTGGCTTTGCTAGTCTGTACCTCCTCTGTCCATCCTCAGGGACTTCTGAAGGGTCATCAGTGAAGGCAAACTTGTCTGCTCTCAGGGGTGACTCCATCTGCTGGATGAACATCAGGGTTCCATACTCACCCTCAACCCCCTGGCTGGTTGCCACTGGTGATTCCACAGCCTGACATGGGGGGAGAGATGCTGATGTAGATGGAACTGAGTCATCCATTACCTGGGGCTGCTGATCCACAGAGCTCACTGATGTCTGGCTGGCAAATCTCCTCTCATTATCGAACTTTTCTTTAAATGCTCCACTTCTTGCTTTCAACTTTTCTAATAATAAAGATTGTTTCTTCACTTTCTCCTCCATGTGCTGGAGCGCTGGCTTCATGCCCAATCTGTTCTTGCTCCAGGCCTGGCAGTATTTGGCTCTGAAGATTTTGTGTTCAGATTTCAAAACATTAAGTTTCTCCTCAGCTCTTCCAATAGTCACAAATCTATCAGTAATCTTCTGTCTGAAGACATCGACATCCTCACCAGGGCCGGGACCCACAGTCAGGTCCTCCACCTCCTCCTCTTCACTAGGCCCGGTCTCATCAGGGGAATCCCTCCCAGGGCCTCCCCCTGGATCAGGCATGGTTCCTGGGCCAAGCTAGCAGGCAAGGCCCAGGCTTGAAAATGCTGGTTCTCAGGGAGAGCTCCTTCAGTGTGTCCTCCTCCTTCTCCCACTGACCCCCAATGTAAGGAGCATTTTCCCACTGACCACCAATGTAAAAAGTATTCCCACTGACCACGAATGTAAGCAGCATTTATCTCACTGACTACCAATGTGAAGCGTATTCTTCCCACTGGCTACATGCATGGGGACCTTCTTCACTGACCAACATTGTATAGGAATCATTTCTTCACTGACCTCCAGTGTAAAGAGAACCGTTCCACTGGCCACTACAATTTTCACTGTCTACTTTTTTTCCTTGAATTTTCATTACAATATTATTACTGTAATGAACTGTCATATAGAACACCTCTGGGTGTCTAATACACAATGTATGTCACATTCCTTATTGTTTTTATTTATTCTGCTATCTACAACTTACTGCTCACACCAGTGTACCATGGGCTGTAAAAATGGAAATTATTAGCAGGGGTTCCCGAAGACCAAAAAGTTATTTCAAGGGTTCCTCCATGTTAAAAAAAAAAGATTGAGAAAGGCTGTTTTAGGTGAATCCTCAATACTCTTCTCTCCTCTACAAGAAATGAAAGTCTCCTCTTTACCCGGTGATGTGAGGGGAGGCCGGTTCTCCATCATGACGTCCTTGTAGAGATCCTTGTGTCCTTCTATATACTCCCACTCCTCTATTGTTTCTATGTCTTTATATCAGAGGATGTGTATATCTAGGTGGATCCTCAATACAAGAAATGAAAGTCTCCTCTTACCCGGTGATGTGAGGGGCGGCCGGATCTCCATCATGACGTCCTTCTACAGATTCTTGTGTCCTTCTATATACTCCCACTCCTCTATTGTTTCTGTGTCTTTATATCAGAGGATGTGTATATCTAGGTGGATCCTCAATACAAGAAATGAAAGTCTCCTCTTACCTGGTGATGGGAGGGCTGGCCGGTTCTCCATCATGACGTCCTGGCTGGTGCTTAGGGGACCACGCTGGTCTGCAAAGAACAATGTAAACTGGATAAACGTGGAGCTCTACTGGTTTGGCAGATGCCACGTTTGGCTCTCTGGTTCCCATATGGGCTACTGATTGGTAACTGGGAGGCCAAGAACGCAGGCTCTTGAAGGCCTCTGTTCCAGATGGACAAGAGGGTGTTATCCTTAGACTTGAACATAGACGGACTATTCTGGCTAGGAATAAGACGCATTCACCTGCCTCTAGTGATAGTTGGGTTGTATATGATGATAAAACTCCTAGGGAATTCCAGCAATTATTTCACTGCAAACACGTTACACTCATTGCTGCAGAAAGACACAACGACTCTGGAGCTTGGTAACAGCCCACCATGGAGGCTTTAAAGACGAGCAGATCCTCTGCAGCCACAAGTAAAATGAAAAGTAGGGAAGCATGGAGGAGACCAATTATATTTATATCTGTACACCCCCAATGCACCAGAAGATATTAATTCCCCCATTGCAGAGCCTTCTGACCCCTAACTGGGTGCTGTATAGAGGACATGTGACCTGACCCACCACATCACATGACCTTCCCCAACCAGTCCACTACTCCAATAAAATAACACATTATTACCTCCTCCAGTCTCCCAGCAGGTTTGTAGCCTGGAGAGGAGCTTTCTTCCTTTCTCTGGGCTACGACAAAATGGCGACCTCTCATCCTGCATTAAATAACAAACAAATAGGTAGAGAATTACTTTAATTTGTGAGACCTAAGCAGTGCATTTGATAAAACATAAATGAGTCCGGCCCAGTGGTAGGCAAAACACTTTTAATTTCACTAAATAAATTGCAATAAAAAGGGTCTACAACAAAATGGCCGCCGCCCCTCCATTACTACAGGCACTGCCTTTCCAACACAGCAGCTTGGTGCCCTCTAGTGGTGGCTTTGGTTCCACACTAGAATAAGCGATTCTCTGCCACTTTCTGTCCAATCACGCTGAGCGTCACTATGGTAACCAAGAAAGCTGCTAAGCAGAGTGGCCGTGGAACGCATACACCGGAAGTATAGGGAACCACAGGGCGGAAGTGGCTGGAACTAATTTGTTTTTAATTATCATTAATATTCCATATTAATAGAATTAAGAACAGTATAAATAACATAGGAGGACAATATATGTGTGCACCTTTATTTTCTAAGAGAAAACAGTGTTCTGGGAAAGCTCCTCCTTTTAAGAGGTCACCTGACCTGTGCTATGGCTTTGGTCATGTGACTGGGAGCCCTGGGTGCCATTTTCAGCATTTTGTTGCTGCTTTTATCATTTAGTGGAGAATGTCTTGTTAGGATACCTGGAGAATAGAGGAGGTATTATGGTACAGGCCGGCGGGAAGATTGTATAATAAATGAATCCCTGGGAATGAAGTACACCTTCAGGTCCATGAATGACAATCGGCACTCCCATACGTGTCATATCTGTGGGATCATCGATTCTATCCCTGATTTTGCAACAGCAATGCCACCCTAAAATAGTTTTTGGTGGGGTGTGCCCAATAAAGCTCCGAGGTAAATCCTGACCCCCTGAGTCAGGCTAGGAAACAATTGGCACCCTAGTCAAATGAGGTTACACCAGACACTATATTAAGACAGGGTTGCACCAGGGACCCTAATCGGGTCAGGATTCAAATGGCACCCTAGTCAGGTCAGGGTACTCCTGGAATCCTAGTAAGACCAGGCTACATCAGGAATTCTGGTCAGGTCATGGTACAACTGACATTCTAGTCATGTCTGAGTACACCAGACACACCATTAAAACCAGATTACATTTGCCACCTTAGTCAGGTCAGGGTACAGTTATCACCCCAGACAGGTCAAGGCACACCTGGCACCCTACTCAGGTCAGGGTACACTTGGCACCCTAGTCAGGTCAGGGTACACCTGGCACCCTAGTCAGGTCAGGGTACGCCTAGCATCCCAGTAAGACCAAGCTACTCCAGGCACTCTAGTCAGGTCAGAATACACCTGGCACTCTAAGTCAGGTCAAGGTACAACTGGCAT